TAGTCTCACCTGTGTCTGTAGTCTCACCTGTTTCTTTAGTCTCACCTGTGTCTTTAGTCTCACCTGTGTCTGTAGTCTCATCTGTTTCTTTAGTCTCACCTGTGTCTGTAGTCTCACCTGTGTCTTTAGTCTCACCTGTGTCTGTAGTCTCACCTGTGTCTGTAGTCTCACCTGTGTCATTAGACTCACTTGTGTCTGTAGTCTCACCTGTGTCTGTAGTCTCACCTGTGTCTTTAGTCTCACCTGTGTCTTTAGTCTCACCTGTGTCTTTAGACTCACCTGTGTCATTAGACTCACCTGTGTCTTTAGTCTCACCTGTATCTTTAGTCTCACCTGTGTCTTTAGTCTCACCTGTGTCTTTAGACTCACCTTTGTCTTTAGACTCACCTGTGTCTTTAGTCTCACCTGTGTCTTTAGTCTCACCTGTGTCTTTAGACTCACCTTTGTCTTTAGACTCACCTGTGTCTTTAGTCTCACCTGTATCTTTAGACTCACCTGTGTCTTTAGTCTCACCTGTGTCTTTAGACTCACCTGTGTCTTTAGTCTCACCTGTGTCTGTAGTCTCACCTGTTTCTTTAGTCTCACCTGTGTCTGTAGTCTCACCTGTGTCTTTAGTCTCACCTGTGTCTGTAGTCTCACCTGTGTCTGTAGTCTCACCTGTGTCATTAGACTCACTTGTGTCTGTAGTCTCACCTGTGTCTTTAGTCTCACCTGTGTCTTTAGTCTCACCTGTGTCTGTAGTCTCATCTGTTTCTTTAGTCTCACCTGTGTCTGTAGTCTCACCTGTGTCTTTAGTCTCACCTGTGTCTGTAGTCTCACCTGTGTCTGTAGTCTCACCTGTGTCATTAGACTCACTTGTGTCTGTAGTCTCACCTGTGTCTTTAGTCTCACCTGTATCTTTAGTCTCACCTGTGTCTGTAGTCTCACCTGTGTCTTTAGTCTCACCTGTGTCTGTAGTCTCACCTGTGTCATTAGACTCACCTGTGTCTTTAGTCTCACCTGTGTCTTTAGTCTCACCTGTGTCTTTAGACTCACCTGTATCACCTGTACCTCTGACACAGAGACCCAGTCACTAAATATATTCTTGTTCATAAAGGCTTTCTATGTGATTTTTTGATCCAGCAGATGTCGCCCTTGAGCTCCAGCATGAAACCAAAACAACTGGCGCTGCATTGTTGTGTTAGCATGCTAATGCTCGTGATCTTTATTATGCTGGTATCTTCACACTGCATGTAAGTGTAGTAGGGCAACGATTAAAAGTTTTAATCGCATTAATCGCATGAGTTCCTGTGATTAATCACGATTAATTGCATTGTTATACGCAAAATCCAATAATGAATTCAAAAGTAGTGTATAGCGCACTTTTATTGTAAATGTACTTCTCAACTTAAATAAATACAAAACTAAAGCTTATTGCCACTGCAAGGGCATAATGTCATCCTGTTTATTATATAAAAAAAACTGCCCAGAAAGGTTTTAGGCTATGAGGTATAATGAAAATGTCGGGATACCATTTTTAAAGTGGGGGAGAGTGTGACAGGTTGAGAACATTGATGTTTATTGTTTGGTTATCGAGGACCCCACAAACACATTTTTGTTGTACTTGTCATTTTGAAATTCTTCAGTTTATAATCTTTTTGAATTCATCTTCAAAGTTGCTAATGTTAATGTATTTTTCTGAACTGCAACATTATTTAAGCAGTTGATGTTGACATGTTATTAATTAAATGTGCTGCATAATCTACACCACTAGGTGGAGTCTGTGAGTGACAGTGGCATGCAGGAGAAGAAGAGTGTTGTTGTTGTGATGCTCCTGAGTTAGTAAGAAAGCTGTAGTGATTATTGAGCAGCTGAAGAGACTTAGAGTGAATGAAGGTTCTGGGTCTTTGTTAAACGCTTCAATAAAGTGAAGACAAATGAAACGACCTTTCAGCGTCCGCCTGAGTTTCTGGCTGCAACATATTTTGGAGTACTTATCAAATACTCCGCTGATAAGAAAATTCAACTTCTCAGTGGCTACAAATAACTTTGTCTCTGTGGACTGCGCCGTCTGGAAGAACTTTAAAATTAAAATGGCCATGTAAAAGTTCCGTACCCTTCTCCATGCTTGATTATCCGCCAATTCTTTTCTGACTGTTTCCTGTTTCCTGTGAGCGCCGCAGCAGTCATGTGCAGCAGTAAGCAACATACTAGGCTCGCTCACGATGGAATTTTACCAAAAAAAAGCCAGTGAGCAACAGACTTTTACAATAAGAAAATAACTAATAATAACGCGTTAACGTGCCCAGCCCTAAAATTTACCTGAAATGAGCGTGATCTAGAAACACAGTTAAGCAGTGAGTACAGTATGTTATTCTTCTTTTCTTTAGTCCCTCAATTAAACAACTTTTATACACGAGGGGAGGAGTCAGCCGGCCGTCCTGACGATGTAAACAAGCTGAAGATAGGACTCAGAAAACTCTGAAAACATCACAGACAGTGGGACTCGGGTGTTACACCCATTGTAGACAGTCATGACTCACAGAGTTATTTTCAGAGGATATACTTGATTTCTACATTTAAGTGTGAAAAATCACATAGAAAGACTTTAAAGAGCGTCTGGAAACAAGAACCAGGTGTTTAGTTTCAAGTCCTTCTAATCATATCGTTGTTAGAAAAGGGAACTTTCTTTTTCTCTTTCATGAGCATTTCATTCGCTCTGTAGCCTGAGAAAGATTTAATTATGATGTTTTAATAAAACATGTTGAGTCTCTAAGAGACCTGACATTTCTACCCAAGTGTGTTTTAACACCGTTGTGGTTTCCATGACAACAGGAAGCTTATGTTTCTGCAGGTTTGTTTGAAATCTCTGAATAAATAATAAAAATGTAATATAACTGATCTCACAGACATCAGGATGTCAGTGTAAGGAAATGATTGGGTATCTCTCTTTACACAAAGATTCATAGTTATATTTTTAGTCAGTTTTCATCAAGTTTGATAGTCAGACTTGTGTTATAAAAATACTGCACTGCTTCTTCTAAACACTAGGGGGCAGTGTCGGTCTGTGATAAGTCTCTATAAGTTGCCTTGTAAGAGCCCGAAATGTTATAAAAGAAATGTAATAAAAACCAAAATGTAATAACTGGTCAATAACGCAATAAAAGTACCATGAAGATAATTACATTAAGAATGGGGGTTTAGGGTCAAGGGTCAAAGTATGACCACATTTCTCCATGCAGGTCATTCACTGTGCATGTAACTGTGATTGTGAGGCTCCATATAGCAGCTCACCATGTAATCCTGCAGCAACAATGGTCAAGACCCCCCTGAGGATCAGCTTGAGCTCAGAGAATGGCTTCCACAGGGACATCTCAAGTATCGAGCCATCGAGCCGGCTCCCATGGGGTCTCGATCGGGGCCCCTAGGGCTGAAGGCCAGTGGAGGGATTGAAGGGTAGTGGGCAGTCATCACTGTCCAGCTGCTCCCCTTCTGACACAATCCTGCTCATGGACCCCCCCCACACACACACACACAGTGTACACCCGACTTTAAAGACATGTTCATATTACTGCAGGGACACTGAGCCTGAGCCAGATTTGTGCTTGTGCACTCATGCAGTCAAACACAAAGACGCAGATATGCATGGACACACACAGATTACAGCCACAGATTTCTGAAGGAGCACAGCTACATCCTTCACATATACACACCGACTTGCATACAAACACAGATGTGAGTGGACAAACGTGAACATCCTGGTGGAGAATTACACTCTTTTCAGGTCATGGAGACATTTATGAAAGACTGAACTCAACGGTTTCTATGAATCTGCACAGACTCTCATGTTCATATAGAGAAAGGCACAAAGGTAACCTTAATGTGAGGAGGTTTTATGATGATACTAACCAAGACAGAAAGAAGGAACTCTTTTTATAAAACATTCACACATGATTAGGTATGTAGTAGGTATGATTAGGTGTTTTCAGGTACAACATGATCTCATTTTGGTCAAATGGATAATAAAAGTCATGGTACCTGTACCATGATCTGTGATGAACAGTCATGACTTTGTGTGGCTGACGGGACAGCAGCGGAGTAAAGACGTGACGCGTGAACATTTGAGACCATCCTGTCATTCAATAATCATCATTTCTTTCTGTGGGGGGGGGGGACCCACTGGAGACACTTGAACACAACAAACACTTTATACTTTATTTAGGTTCATATCATCATCACTTGAAAGTTTCTCTCTTGGGGGGGCGGTCAGTCCTAAACACATTAAACTCTTCATATTGACATTGTTGTGTGACGTAGATTTGTTCAGCCAGGGTTCAGACAGAACAATAACATCAGCTTCAGTACAATGTGCCCAGATACACTTCATATCCATTTAGGTAACAACACTGAGAACATTCAAATGCAAGAAACCAGGACCAGATCTTTCCTTAAAAGCTGCCAGAGCATTAAAAAGCGATTGGGCTGAACCTTAGCAGACATCAACAAAAATAAAACATTTAAAAGATCTCCTGTAGGATTCTTTGGAGCTACCCCCCTTCTATTTGAGATTCACATACACTTTTCTGCATGAGGATCAACATCTTCAGACAGATCTATGATAGCTGGTGTTCAGTGAGCTCGACATCAGAGAACTGTAAACATTGATTGACTGATTCTCTCTGCTGGACTCTAATGCAGTGTGGATTTAGCTCAGTGGACTCCCTGATGTCCGTCCATCTTTCTGATAACCATCTTAATATCAGGAATAGACTACGGCTCAGAGTTTAGTCGTTTCCTGTGTCCTCCAGATAGGTACACATCGGCCTTACCACACGTCGTTTTAAGGTCCGTTGTCTTTGTCGAAAGTAAAACCTTCAAAGTCAAATCTCTTGTTTAATGTCAGCATAGGAGGTCCACTCGATGCCAACATAGACTCAAGTCTTTAGAGCTCATATCAGGAAGCAGAACATTTCTGTGTGTCCATTGAGGTTAGCGTCCATCAAGTCGTACCGAGCATATATATATATATATATATATATATATATATATATATGTACACATGGTATATTTTCATTTGAACAAATACAGTTTGAGAGCTGAGAGCCTGGTATGACGGGCTGTTGTCTGCAGGAAGCTGGACCTCTCAGACACAAAAAAATAAAAACTGAATGGCGGTACATATTTAGAGGGAGGACGAATGCCACACAGTCCTTGTTCCTTTGAACAGCACGGGTCCTCACATCGGCACGGTGCTACGAGGCTCCTCAGCACGCACCCCTGCAGTCTTTAGCGTCCGTTGTTGAGCAGATGAAGGAGCAACAACATAAGGCTGAAGGCCGCTTGGAGCTCTAAGCTGGAGGGCGAGGCAGCGTTTTGGAGGCTGTCGAATGGCGGGTTGGACTGGCTCTCTAGCGGTTCGTTTCCCAGAGCCTGGTAGGAGACACACAGATCATTTTTGTTCACTCTAAGGTTCAGGTTACCAACATTTCCAACGCGCTGACAGGCGAGCAACGATCTGTCTCAGGGATCATCTTAAAATGATTAACATCGATAAAGGCAGGAACTCGGGTAAGGGGCAAGTGGAGGCCCCAAGATAATGTTTTAACCTTTATGACATACACACACACACACACACACACAGAGAGACACACACACACACACACACACACACACACCCATACACACCTGTGTTGGTATGAGTGTGTCCAGAAAGTTCCTCATAGTTTCTGTCGTTTCTTGTGGAGATGTGGTGATCCTGTTCT